CCCCCAATGACGGACAGCTACGTTTTTTCCGGGTTTGTTTTTTCTTACGCTCTTTATGAAAACAACAACAAAAAACGTTCCCCACCCCTTGTTTAGCGTTTATCAAGAAATCGGCGGAAGCCTCAGCCTGTTGGCCCCAGCTGCCCGTATCCGCCGTGGGTACTCCCATCTCCAGGGCCCCAGAGCTCCGGCCGCGCGTCCCGCCCTGGCCAAGCCTCCCCGAAGCTGTCAGGAGCCAGCCGGAGACTTCTGGAGTCCCGCCCCTCGGCCAGCCCGCAGTCGGGCCGATTCAAATCCAGCCAATGGCATAGTGTAAACAAACCCACGCCCCGCCCCCCGATGAATAATACCTCGGGCCGGCGCGAGGCGTACTAAATCCTGAGGATTGGGGGCGGGTCGGAGCAGTGAACCCGCCTCCAGGCTTGGGCCAATGGGCTACCAGACCCCGCCCCCCGCACTTGCTGCACGGAGGACCCGCGGCCAGGCTGGGCTTGCAGCTGCCTGATTTGGTCGCAGCTCATGGTCTTGGCTCTCCCGGTGGGCTTGCAGGGCTGGGAGCTGGGCAGCGTACTACTGCTGTATAAGCCATATTTAAAGGGGGGTGAGGGTGGGAGGTCAGAGGGCGGAGGTCGCCCCGGAATCAGTGCCCTCTGATTCTCCTTTCCTTCCCCAGCCTGGCGCTAAAACCCGGATCCTGGAAAAGTCTTTAATGGAAACTTTCTCTCCGTACACCCCATTGAACGAAATCTAGAGAGGTGGCAGGAATGTTTTAGGATTGGGCAAGGCTTTTTCTTGTTTTGTTCTCCCTTGTTATTGAAATGTTACACACAAACAAGCAAACAAACAAAGGCAAGGATTGTAAGGGTGCTGCTAGATGGAAAACTAAAAACACCCCTGGCACCAGCATCCTCCCACACCAAGAAACAGAACTTAGTTTTCAAGAACTTTGTAGCTGCCAGTGCGAGGGAGGAGCCACTATGGGCATTGTTTAGACTTTCAGAGGCACAGCCATTTATTTTAAAGAAAAACCACTCCTCTGTAGAGAGGGAGATCAGGCTGGACATTAATCAGGGTCCTGCAGTGTAGGAGTTGGGTTGCTGGGCAGGTAGGAGGTGCAAGGCTCAGTTAGAAATAAAAGGGATCTTGTTGGGAGTGCAGGACTAGAAATGAGAGTGGATGGGATAGAAAATGCTGTGGTCTTGTGGGGAGGGAAGCAAAGCATTCCTGGCATTAGGAAGGGAAGGGGGACTTGGCGCCTGTATGCTGGATATGGAAAAAGACCTCAGGCCCCTGGGAAAGAGCAGGTTACTTCTCCAATGTACTGGAGAGCCTTCCACAGCAAATAGGGGTTTTCCTGACATAACTTTCTAGCTGCATGTTTCTAGTTAAAACAATCCATTAGAGGTTGAAATGAGGGGCCCAGAAAAAGGTCATGCTGAGATCATGGGGTTTTCATAAGCCCAGTTCCAATGTCTAGGGCTATGCTAGATGAGTGGCTGCAAGGGCCTATAGAAGAAGCCATCTGCCTTTTATTCAATCCGAAAGCGTGTGAAGTGTCCATCACCTGCCGAGCCCTACTTTAGGAAATATTGTGATTCATATGGGATTAAGTCCCAAACTGGCAGGCAAAGACCCTGTGCTAGGAACCTAGCTGAACACAGAGTACAGCATAATTGCTGGCTGAGGTAGTGGATGCATCTTCTTTGGTCCTAATATATCACCTCTGTATGCGGCTTTGTCCCTGTCCCAAAAGAGCTTCCATGTCCATTGTCCCATTTCATCCTCTCTGTTGTCCTCAAAGTCTGGACTCAGGACTGACAGAGCTCGGTCTGGTTCCCCAGCTATGTGACCTCGATATGGTTTCTTACCCTTTCTGAACCCCTTTCTCTTTCACAATAAAGGATAGAATTGAGATTTAAATAAGAGCCAGCACCTGGCCCAGGGGGTTATTACAGTCCTCCAGTGCTTATCAGAGTGGAAAGTTGGTTACCTGATGAATGATGTGTTCCGGGGGAGGCAAACAGTTGTCTGCAACATACTTTGAAAGGCATCAAAAAATAAGATGGTTTTGATGGGTGGATAGATTCACAAAACAAGTAGAGTGACATGCAAACTAGGTGGTGGGTATTTGTTCACTATATTTCCTCCACTTTTTCATGTTTAAAAATATTCATAATAAAATGTTTGGGGGCAGGGTGGATTTTGGTGTCTGACTATACATTCCCCCTGGACAGATGAGAAAATGGAGGCACTGAAGTGACCTGCCCCAGGTTCATCTGATGAGTCAGAGACAAAGTTGGTTAACCTATGAGTCTCACTGCCAACTCAGTTCTTAACTCACAACTTGCATGTGATTCTCAAAGGGAAGAAATATCACCTCAAAAGGACAGCAGGTCTCTATTTGGGGCCTCTACTAACCTTACACTGGCCTTGGATATTTCATCTCCCAGGGCTTTGCCAGCATAGTTTGGGGCTGGCTATTTGTTGGCTTCCTTCAAGCCCAGCCAGGCCTGTTCCAAGTGGTATGGCCTCAAGATAAATCTCCCCAAGAGATCAGCTGTGCTTGTGGGAGGGTGGCTATTGTTTATCTCTTTGTTCCGTGGACTTAGACCTTTATTGAGCACTAAGGGCTAGGCACCATTCTAGGGGTGAGGGACACAATGCACCAAGAAACCTAGTACCTGCCATGGAAAGTGGGAAGAAACCAAGGCTAAGTGACTTATTTGCTCACTAGCTTATTGTCGGTGTCCCCTAACAGACTGTATGTGTTGAGGGCAGGGGGGCGGGGACAGGAACCAGGCTGCTCTTGGTCACTACTATATCCTTGACACACACTAGATACTCAAACAATATTTCCTGTATGAATGAATAAACTTGGACAGTCAACCTTCCCCCCAATGCTTCAAGTTTCCCAGCTTTGAGCTAGCCAGTCCTCAAGTTCTGAGTTCCCCATGGGTTGGCAGCTATGACAGAGACACAGTGCCACCCAGCTCAGATCAGGTCCCACTTCCTGGCTGGGTGACCTTGGACAAAACACTTTCCCTCTCAGAGCCAATTTAGTTTTGTACACTGTAAGATGGAAATAACGAACGGTCTCCAGATGGGGGATTATCAGAGGTCTTTTCTGGGTGGGCAGTACTGAGGACTAGAAACTGTGCTTGGCACTAGTTAATGAATACTCAAGGTGTAGTTCAGTCATTGTCAATGGAAGGGCATGCTACATAAAAAGTCTAAGTGTGTCTATTGCTGTTCCCCCAAGGGTCACATACCTCTAGAGCAGCGGTTCTCACCCTGTGGGTCATGACCCCTTTGGGGGTCGGACGACCCTTTCACAGGGGTCGCCTAAGACCATCGCAAAACAAAAAGATATTTACATTACAATTCATAACAGTAGCAAAATTACTGTTATAGAGTAGCAACAAAAATAATTTTATGGTTGGGGGTCACCACAACATGAGGAACTGTATTAAGGGGTCGCGGCATTAGGAAGGTTGAGAACCGCTGCTCTAGGGCATGACCACTGTTATTGATTTACCACTGTCTTACATTTGGTGCAACCCATTGGGTGTTCACTTCTGGAATTGATCAAGTTTCCTTTTTATATAATCATCAATAATAACAGCCAACACTTATCTGACACTTCCTGCTAGGTGCTGCTGCTTTCTCAGTGATAGTTCATTTCCTTCTAATGACCCTAGGAAGTGAGGCCTATTATTTAGAGAGGCGGAAATGAAGGCACAGAGAGGTGAAGTAATTTGCTCAAGGTCACACTGTAAGGAAGTGTCAGGAGCAGGATGTGAAACAGGGGTTCACTGGTTTGAGTCAGGGCTGTTAACCACTGCAGTCTAACAAATTTTAAAAAAAGGAAAAAAATGTTTAAATAATATTAGTACCGCCAGAACACGAGGACAAATGCTAAAGCTTAAAAAATACAGATGTTTCAATCACTCATTTTCTCAACATACATTTATTAAGCGGCTTCTGCGTGCATGGCGCTTTTCTAAGCACCGAGGAGACAGCAGGTACTAAGAGACCTGACTATAAGTCCCCCTGGCCTGTGCGTCCTAGGAGGTCAGGCCTCAGCTGTCGGAGTCCCGGCTGGGCCCTCAGCACTGCCAAGGGCACACAGTAGGCTCTCACCACGCGTTTCCTGAGTGAATGCGTGAATCTCTGTCTCGCCCGCGAGGCTTTCACGGCCAGGTGGGGCGGAAACTGACCCAGCACCACCGCGGCGTCCTGGGACTTCTGGGAATCCACCAGCGCGGCCCGAGAAGCCTCTAGGCGGCTCTGCGGCAGGACTGACCCGCGCCCCCGGCACCCTCCGCGGGGCCGGCGCAGCTCGGCAAAGACCGACTGGGGTGAGTGATCAAGCCAGCCAGGGGAGTCCCGGCCAGTCGCCCCAAATCCCCGCCACCTTCCACCCTTTTGGTTCCGACTCCCAGCTCCTTCATGGTTTCACCTGCGGGGCCTCCCCTCTTTCTCAAGCGTCGTCTCCCGCTACCTTTTCGAACCATCACGTCCTCCCGCTCGGCGACCGTCCCCCGAATCGAGGGCACGTCCAAGGCGCACGGCGACCCCTCCCCAGCCTGGCCGGGAGTCTGAGAGCGGAAATCCCTTTTAACCTTCCCCCCAACCCGGAGCGTCAATCCAGCCGATGGCAGGACTCCACCGGAGCCTGGCAAGGCGCACCCCCAAAATCCCGCGACTAGGGCTGGGGAGGGGGCGGTGCTGGAATGGAGGGTCCCCTCCCCGGCCGTTCGCAGCCTCCCATTCGCTGACCTGCCCGCCACTCCGCGCCGGGAGCAGGGGCCGGTTTGCCCAGCGCGGGGCGGGGCTCCCTCAAGCCCCTCCCCCGGCGAGGGCGGAGGGAGGAGGAGGAGGAGAAGGGGGGGCGGAACACAAAACCTGCAAAGGTTTTTTTTTTTCTTTTGCATTTAATTAAAAAAAAATTTTTTTTTTGCAAACCCGAGGGGTCCTTCCCGGAGCGGGCGCGGGGCCGACGCGCCCGGGCCGCACGGGGCGGCGGCGGGAGCCCGGCGGAGGCTGCCGGGCGGCCGCCATGCAATCAGGCAGTGCGTTGACCGGCCCGGCCGGTCGGCCCCTTCTGGGTCCTCCCTGTGCAGCCCGTGCGGGGCCGTCTCGGAGACCCCGCGCCGACGGCTGCTCAAACATCAGGGTGAGTTTCTCACAATGTAGCAATTTCTCTTTAAATCTCTTAACTCTCTCTACCTGCGAGTCGGGGCTGTGACAGGGCGCAAAAGCGAGGGGGGAGTGGGGGTTGGCGGCGAGGGTGTGTGTGGGGGGAGCCGGAGCCGGGGCCGAACCCACCCCCCCGACACTCACACACTCAGCCCCCCAACCGGGGCGCAGCGCCCGCTGCCTCTTTTTTTGCTCGGCGCCCACCGCCCCCGGCAGCTCCCCACCCCCCGCGTCTCTCCCACCATCACTGCCGCCCCGATCCTACGGGGACCCCCCCCCACCCCCGGCTCCCCTGCCCAAACCCGGCTCCCGGTGCCTCCCCGGCCCTCCCGCCGGCTGCCGGGGATACAATGGAGCGGCGGAAAAACGAGACCTAACGTTCCACTGGGGGAGGGGCGGGGAGACCCCCTCCCCCGGCCCCTGCGCCCCCTCCTCTCGCCCAGCTCCCCGCCTTTCGGGGAAGAAGAGGGCAATGGGGCAGCGGATGGTGATTTCCCGGCCGGAGGCGGCGAGCCTTCATCTCCCCCTCTCGCCCGGCCCCTGCGCCCCCTCCCCAAATGCCTCTTGGGGATGCCGGGGAGAAACGGGGCCTCTGGCAAGCTGTGGAGGGATGGATGCGGAAGGAGGCCACCCGGTCTCCCCCTCCCCACCGCCCCTAAACAATGAAAAGAGTTGACTTGGTCCCCCACCCCCTAGCAGTGAAAGGAGTTGACCCCCTCCTCCGTGGGCTGGCTGGTCCCGGAGGGGGTCCGTTACGGGGGTGGGGGTTGAGGAAGGAGGTGAGCCTTACCCCTGTCACCTCCCGGGATTTGGGGCGGCCCCCCATCTCCACCCCCTCGGCCTGGGAATGGGAGGCACCAGGCCCAGCCCGGGCACCGCACTCGGGTGGTGACCTTTAGACAAAGGCAACCCTTTCCCTGGGGTGAGCCCGGGCGAGTCGGGCCCTTGCGGAGGGCGGCCAGGCCGCGGGCACCCGGAGGGAGGGATGGAGGAGGAGGGAGGAGGGATGGAGCCATCTGGTTTTCCCATCCCTGGCTGCCCCTCGGGCTGCCTCTCCGGCTGCTGTCACAGGCGGCCGCGGGGAGACAAGGGACCAGGGGCTGCCCAGGCCTTGGTCCGCGGCCAGCGGAGAAGCGGGCGAGGAGCCGTGGGAGGGCTCTGGCTGGGGCGAGGGCGCCAGCGGTGACTGGAAGGCACCGTAGTGGCTCCTTCCTCTCCGCGCCCCTTTGTTTTGCTTTGTGGTTCTGAGCAGCTGAACTTCCCGGGAGGTGGGGTCAGAGGCCTGCCTTGTCAGCTCTCCCGGGGAGGCCGGGGTGACAGGTCCCAGCCCTCCGGTGTTCCCGAAGACAGGGGGGCTGCAGTCCTTGCCCAGCCTCCAGTCCGGACAATCAGCCCCTTTTGTCACACAGCCCTCCAATAGTATAACAAGGATGTACTGAGCGGCTGCACTTTACTCACACCTCCTTTTCGAGGGCGCTTATCAGGGAAACAGTTTGTAGAAACACCCAAGACACCAAGGCCTGAGATTTATAAGTTCAGGGTGCTTTCACCTGGGGTGGGAGTACGGATGGGGGCTGAGTCAACTCTGACCTCAGGGGTGGTGGGAGAACCTGGCAGGTGACAGACAGACAGCTCAGGAACTATCCCTGTCCCATGTGCTGATGTCAGGTGGGACACTGAAGGGTCTGTTGACCTCCCTCACTCTCCCGCAGAGCTCCCCCACTCCTTAGAAGCCAGAAATAACATCTCCCTACCCAGGGAGCCTTATGGATTGGCTGCTGCTAAGTGCACTACACCCTGGCCACAACTGGAGTAGGAAGGTGGGACTATTATTAATCCCATTTTACAGACAGGCTAAGGGAGGTTCAGAGAGGTTAAGTGGCTTGCCCAGGGTCACGCAGACCCAATTTGTAACCCTCTCAAGTTTAAAACTGTTAGATTCTCCTGTACCCCTCTTTGGCACTTGGTCCCTTTGATTTCAGTTGACCTGGGTCTCAAATGCCTGGACAGAACTGTCAGAAACATCACCCCCCACCCACACACACACACACATACACACACATGGTGCTGGTTTGGGGAAGGGGTAAGAAGCACCTGGAAACTGGGCTGAGAACAGGATCATTTCACCTGTGGTTAAAGCAGAGCTTTTGCCTGCCAGAGCTGAGAGTTGGAGGTGTGTGAGTCAGGGGGTGGGGGGGGGGAGGCCCCAGGCCTGACTGGGGGGCACCAGGGAGGTGGCCCCACTGTCATCTTCCTTTTTCACCTGAGCTGGGATTTTGCCTTGGCTTGCTACTCAGCTCCTGCAGGAAGGGAAGCTGAGCTGTTGGGGACCTTCCTTGTTACTCTCCCCTGTGACCCTCCATGGGACCCTGATGCAGCTGGCAGAGAACTTTCCTGCCATTTCTCTGCTTGGCCTGGGTGTCAGACTCCCGGTTCTACTCTGTGACCTTAGGCAGCTCATTTAACTTCCTAGTCCTCAGTTTCCTCATCTGTAGATGGGGATAATCACAGTTCCCTTAGCTGACCTTGAGGTAGGTGAAAGTATTATCCAAACATGTTACTTTTATTTCTTATTCAGCAGACGGGATGCGGCGTGTCATGTAAGGTGGGGAGGACTATCAGGTGCCGGGCATTTTAGGGTGATAGCAAAAAGGCATCTACAGATTTCCCTGTGGTGGGCGAGGGCTGGCTATAAATAATTCCCCTTTGTTGACACTCACCCTTCTGGCTCTCTGACCTGGGACCCTAGCCTTCAGCCCTCACTGGTGCTGAGCAAACCTTTGGGGGTTAGGCTGAGGCAGCATGGCTGGGGGAGGGCCCAGCTTACTCAGTGAGGTAGGTGACACAGGTGGTCTTGCAATTTTACAGATGAAGAAACCGAGTCTAGGGGGAAGTCTGTCCTGTGGCTGGGGATAGGTGGGAGAGGGGCTACATGGTTGTCAGCAGAGCTGGGGAGACAACATTTTGAGGGAGCCCCTGCCTCCAACTGCTGTCCTCTCCTTAATGCGCAAATATCGTCCTCCCTGAGTTGATAGGCGTAAGTAATAATAATTCCTGGGTGGGCAAGAGGACGGGGAGGCTGTAGGTCTCTCTAGGCTGACTGTTTCCTGAAGTAGGAACTCTTTTTTTTTTTAAGGGGGGAAGCATGAGTAAGGCCCAAGAGGGACAGGCCTATGCCCCACCCCGCTCCCTGCTGACTTCCTTCCCAGAGGCCTCTGGGGCCTTCCCTCGGGATGTGGGGTCTTCTTCTTCTTCTCCCCTCTAAGAGTCTGTGGAAGGGCCAAGGGATCAGTGCCAAGCCCTGGGGCCTGGTGGGAGGGGTCCTGGGGTGTGGGGAGGGTTACCCAGGTCCAGCCACCAGCTGAGTTCCCGCCAGCCATCCCAGCTCTCCCCTGTGGCTGTCTTGACTCCTGGTCTCAAGAATGCAGAGGGCTGCTGGTGGGGGAAGTTAATTGGAAACAGGAAAACATGGCATTCCTTTCCAGCCGGCCTGGGCTTGGAAAGCAACTGAGGGGCTGCCTTTTTCCCTCTCCCACCCCACAGGGGAAAGGGATGGGGGCATGGTTATCTTGCCTTGGTCTCTTTTGGGTCTTCCCCCCACCAGGCACCCTCACTGTTAGTAGAAACAGTAGATTACCTGAACTACACCACTGCTTCCCCCATCAGAATGAGTTGCTCCCACGTATTCACTGTTCATATCCGAGTTGGTCCCCTCTCTTTTGAGGACAGAGGGCCTGCTTGAAAGTTGGCTCCCCAGTGTAGGGTGCGGCACATTAGAGACATGGGAAATGTTTGGTTGAATTGTCCCCAAGGAATCCCTCCTCATTCCTTTTCTAGAATTCTCCCCTGCCTGGAGTACCATCATTACAGTCTTGTCCCCATTGACTGAAGCCTTTGTGTCTCAGTGACATGCAAGTTCCCCCAGCGGGGAGAGCGAGAATGTTTTCTAAGACATTTCTAGTTTGGTGACAATTAGTTTTGTGGAGAGTTTGTGTATTTATGGTGGTGGTGGGGAATGTGTTGGCAGGAGAAGCAGGAGAGAGTGCCTTTGTTTCTTTAATTGTTCCCAGTGAGGGCCTACTGTGTGTCAGGGCCCTGGGGCTCAGTTATGAAATTGGGACCCAGTCCAGGAGGAGGCTAGAGGTAAGTGTTGTTTTCATGGCTGGATTAGCTGTGCTGGGATTTGATGAACTCTGTCTGGGTGGTCTGTGAAGGCTCTAAGGAGGAAGCAACTTTCTCTCTCTGTCTCTGCCTCTCTTTTTCTAAGTGATATGTGCACATGGGACAAATTCAAAATAGTAAGTCTCCCTCTTCACCCTCCCTGGCATTGCTGGGCCCCCAGCTCGCCTCTCCAGAGGCAACCCCTCAATCCTGATGTTCTGTACACATTTATATCTTTGTTTATAGCATTAGAAGTATTTATTGTGCATAGAGGGTAGCCTGCTCTTCCCGTTGTTCTGCACGTGCCCTTTTTCACTTCATCTTCCTGGAAGGCCCTACTGTACAGTACACAGAGGGGTTCCTCTGTCATTTTCTTGGCTGCATGATATTCTGCGGTGTGGGTGAATCCTCATTGGCACACGCAGATGTGGAGGTGTTCCCAAAAGTTTCTTCGCAAAGAGCTGGAATGCACGCGTCCACGTGTCTTAATGGGAAATGCATATCTGCCTGTGGGATAAACGAAGTGGGTTTGCTGGATTCAGAGCCTGCACTTTCTCATTTGCTCAGTCTGAGGTGGTCCCTTTGCAGTCACATCTTGAAGGAAGTCATTCCCCACTTCTTGTTCAGTTCATCCTACCTGTCTGCTCTGGGGTCTTTGCCTCTTGTGACCTCCTTGCCTCTTCTGCTTGCCTGTGGTCTGCATCGTGTTCTTGCCTGCATTGTGGAGGTCGAGAATGCAGGCTCAGGAAGTCATCTGTTGGTTTGAATCCAGGCTCTGCCACTTGCTGGCTGAATGGCTGCAGGCAAGAGGCTTGC